TGGAGGCCTTGGATTGAGCAGGTTGACCGGATTGAGCAGATCGACGGATTTGAAGACGGGGTGGGGAATGGGAAGGAATACAGGACGACTCTGGGCTATTAAGTTCCCATCCCGGTCTCCATCTGATGGGGGGTTGAAGGGGAGGGGGGCTTCAGACTGCTGCTGCTGCTGCTGCTGCTGCTGCTGATGATGATGATGATGATGATGATGATGATGATGATGACGCTGATGATGATGACGCTGATGGTGATGACGCTGATGATGATGATGATGATGATGATGATGATGACGCTGATGATGATGATGATGACGCTGATGATGACGATGATGGTGTTGAAGAACCCGTTATTTGTGGGAGTGGTGCTGTTCGGGTTTCGCGCTGAGTTGCGTTGCGTTGCAAGATGTTGCCAGTTAAGTTGTATTGTGCTGTGGATGATGATGGTGGGAAATGGGTGGTGTGATGCGGGGTGAGAGGGGATGGTGAGGCGTCGGCGCGGTTTCGTTCGCCTGTCCGGTCTCGCCGGGAGTGGATACTGGTTGACCCTAAGGGAGCCACAAAAGAAGGGGAATCTTCCAACTGGTTCTTTCTACTGCTGCTGCTGCTGTTGCTGCTATTGCTGCCGTTGTTGCATGTAAGCCTTAAAAAGCGAAGAAAATAATGTTAGGCAATAAGCGGGGTCCGAGGCCTTCTGGCACTCCTGGCACAGTGCAGGCATTTTGCATTTCAGCATTTCTAATATGTCATTTCGTGGACGTGGGTTGCTGCGCCCGACATTACCATGCCCTTGTGGACAGCATTCGGTTGGCGGCTGGTGACTAATGGTTGGTTGGTTGGTTGGTTGGTTGGTTGGTGATCAGAGATTGGTTGTTCCTCGTCCACAACTCGATCGGATCCGGTTTGGGAGAGGGTTCGTAATTTAAAAAATTAAGGTTTCACTTTGCAATTGTGGCCTTCCGTGACTTTTTTGCGGAGCTTCTATACACACACACACACACACACACACACGCGCGCCCACGCGAGCGCGCAGTGTCGGAATCGAATTATCTAACACCGTCCATTTTATTGTCTTGGCGAGTACTTCATAGGTACTTTTCCTTTTCCTGCTTCCTACAATTGTAAATAACTTAGCAGGGTTTATATCTTTTCCAGTGGTTGCAAGAGGGACGCGCGCTGCCGCAGCCAGGAAAGTTGAACGAATTCAGTTAGTTGGTTAGTTACAATGGGTGTGTTACTCGCTTATTTCTTCACCGGCTGCAGGTTTGGGCCGAAGCCGCGGGACCGAAGCTGTTGTTATACCGGGGAAAGGGGGAAAGGAATGGGGAAAAAAAGGAGAGGAGGAAAAAAGTAGGGTGTGTCAATGGAAAGGGTGTTGCCTTGGGGTCGATGGAAGGAAGGAAGGGGAGGGAGGGCTCTGCCAAGACTCCGCAGATGCCGCAAATAGAGCATGGGGCTGTGGCCGCCGAAATTGGTTTACCGTTGATGGCTGGCCGTTGACGCGTTAGTTGTTGTTTCAAATTAATTGGTTAGCGGCTGTTGGGTTGATTGTTGTTTGTTATCTTCAGAAATGCTATTGCTATGAAATGAAGAATCAATAAAATTTGTAGAAATGTGCATTTTGGGGCGTGAGATTTCACGTTTTGCATTTATTTGCCAGTGTATATTGATCTGTGTGCGCGCTGTCTGCTGTGCGCTGCATGAGCATTATATTACTGCTTGACACGGTGCATTATTACGCATTTGTTGGCGCGTACATGGCACGCAGTGTAAGCTTACTACCATATCTAACAGAGCCCTGCCAAATATTTTTACAAATGCAGGCATGAAAATTTGAAGTCATGGTGTAAGAATTTTGTCCAAAGTAGGACACCATGTACGATCTCCGTACAGCGACCACTAAGCACATTACGGCCGATAATAAACAGACCTCTCAACACCGACCCCCTTGAATTGGGCGGTCGGGGGGTGCTAATGAGCCCTACGGTGGATTACGTCCCGCATCTGCCGTACCAACTGAATCACAATACTCAGGGAAAAGTCTGTCAGGTGAAATAAGCTACCAACTTGGTAGCTGAGAAAAAACAAAGTTTATGAAATTGTTTGTGGACAGGGGGAGCGTGCTCCGCATGTCGAAGAGAAGTGTTAAGTTGTACTTCATACTTGACCCGCCTAAACTCTGCCGTACATCACACTGAAAGATAAAACGCGCGGGAACGAACAATGGAAGAACTCGCATCCACATTTCATCTGCCACGAATACAACACCACGGCACTCGTTCTTCCCAACGACCCGAATCATTCACACACCCAACGACCCGAATCATTCACACACCCAACGACCCGAATCATTCACACACCCAACGACCCGAATCATTCACACACCCAACGACCCGAATCATTCACACACCCAACGACCCGAATCATTCACACACTTCAAATTATAGGACGGTAAATAAACCGTTCTATAATCTGTACAACCATAAAAACCTACCAAACTGTAACTTGTACCACCATGTACGACTTCTTCCACGCCAGGAGGGGCCCCCGCATCTGTTTTATGGAAGATAAGTCCAGACCGGAATAAAAGGTCACACAAAAGCAGAATAATAATAGGCCGTTGGAAAATGTGCCGTGTGCTCGCATCTGATGTGATGTGATGATATGCATTAATGGGAATGCGAGAGCCCCCGCATGCAACACGCCCGTGTATGTGTGGACCAAACCCTCCACGACAGCTCTAAATATTTCTCTTATAACTTATTTCCGCATTATAACAATTTCCTGATTTACGGGCTTCAAAACCAAGGGTGGTGTGACCTCTCCAAACTTGCCCCTCTTTATTACAGCTCTTGTCCTGTACGGCTACCTCAATGACTCGTTTGTTGGATGAGGCCGATCGTTAAGCGGCTACTCGTTTGTACAGTCGGCAATCGACAACGGCCAACGGTTTCACAACAACCAACAACAAAACTGCCCTAGAACGATACTCCAGGTTCGATATGTGAACTTGTCAAGATAATACCCCCTGCTAACCGTTACCTGCCAGAGTGCCAACCGTTACCTGCCAGCCTGCAGACCGTTACCTGCCAGCCTGCCAACCGTTACCTGCCAGAGTGCCAACCGTTACCTGCCATCCTGCAGACCGTTACCTGCCAGCCTGCCAACCGTTACCTGCCAGCCTGCCAACCGTTACCTGCCAGCCTGCCAACCGTTACCTGCCAGCCTGCAGACCGTTACCTGCCAGCCTGCAGACCGTTACCTGCCAGCCTGCCAACCGTTACCTGCCAGCCTGCAGACCGTTACCTGCCAGCCTGCCAACCTCCTGTCCATGGGTACTCGGCCCAACCAATCAGCCCCCTCAACCCCACTCAAGGCGTTGCCCCCTCCCGCACTGAAATGCCGGACCTCTCTCTCCGTTAACGTTGTTAGCGGCATCAGCTGGATCACGGAGGAGGTACCTCTACCCGCAGTCCGCAGCCCCAACCCCACGTACATACATATATACATACATGCACGCACCGACAGACATTCGCTCATACACGCGGCGCAGGCCATGAAAGCACACAAACACAACACACACACACATATACATACGTACACACACATGCCGCATTATGCAACATGTCGTGTCGGTCCGATTTCACTTTTTTGTGCTCAACTTGAAGAGGTTTATCGCACCTTCGTTTGCTGCTTTGCATCAGGTTTTGCCTAACAAGACCCCTAACAGTAGTAGTCGCACACGCTTATCTCCCAGCTTTTGCTTGTTTGAGTGCGAGGTCACCCCCTCACCCCCCCCTGGGCTCCCCTGCCGCCAGCTGTTACCATCACACACACCCCCAACCCCCCGGGAACGACCCCTCGGCGGGCTGTCCCAGAACGCATCAACAGCGGTTGGTGCGGCTACCGGACCAGAACAGGCCCCTGCCGAGTTGCACAGTATTTAGGAGAAGGGAACGACACGCGGTTTTTCCAATGCGCGATATTCGTCGAGCTTCGCAATGCCCAATGGCCCATACATGAGACCCTCAGGTACCACATAGCCGTGCAGCTTGGAGCGATCACGCAAGACCGTATACTTATGTACATCGAGCACCAGCGTGCCGACGTGCCGTACAAACTCCAGGAAGGGACCGGGCTTCAACGTTATGTGTTGGTCCCGTGCGAAATATCCGACGTCCCAGCCGACTGCGTCTCTGGTGGCGGTGCGGTTTTTAACACTGAATTCGAAGTCACCCTGTTGTTGCAGATCAGTCAGGGTTAGGAGAATGGTTTGGGGATGTTTTGGTCTGTTGCGGGTTTTTTAAGGGTCTTTAATATACAGTTTACTCAGTTACGCTGTCGTACGAGTAAAATGCCAGTCCTAGCACTTACGTGCCCCGTAAAGCCATAACCCCCTTGTGATGTCTCCTCGTAGGGACATACTCCTATGCTAGGAACCAGTGGTATATACACATTCAGACATACATCCAGACATACATCCAGACATACATAGTACAGGAAAACATATACACACAGACACGCATATAGACATCGGGGGCTATGAATTCACTGAATTACATATCCGCGACCTCGATGTTGTTTTCTAAATTATCCATTTCCTTCTCCCCCACACACATTCGTCACATTAACATGGACGACAGCGTGCTTGCGAGAGCACGCCTGCAACAGCAGATTGTTCGTTCAATCAATAGTACGGCTAAATCAGTACGACGGAACGGCAGTGCAGCAACCTTTTTTTACCTTCATGCACTGAGACTCGTCCTCAACATTAAGTGCGAAGAAGCGAATTACGTTGTCGTTCTTTTCATGCTGCTTCGGCAAGTACTTGTCCGGCCAAACCGCGAAATGGGTTCCGAACCTATGTGACGGTTTGAGCGTCAGGCCGGAATCAGGTGGCGATCCCCAATCCCGATCCCGATTGAGGAGAAGGGAATCCAAGGGAAATAGGAGTGGGTGGGTGAGCTCTTGTGCAATAAAGCCGAAAAGAGGAATAATAATAATATTAGGTATAATAATAAGAGAATAATAATATTGGGAATAATAATAAGAGAATAATAATAAGAGAATAATAATAAGAGAATAATAATATTCGGAATAACAATAAGAGAATAATAATAGAGGGTATGTCATGATGGAAGTAAGTAGGACGTGGGAAAGTGGTCTAGGGAAACAATGCCTTTAGGAACCCCACATCATCAATCTGGCCGTTCAAAAGCCCTGAGAAGGGAGGTGGTGGCGGAGGACCCGTAGGAGAATACCTTCAAAGATTCCTGTGGGATGCGTGCCGCTCTATGGTCGTACAGTCATCCTGACCCATTATCACATATGTTATTGCCACTAATTGCTCTATTAGTCTTCGTGCGCAGCCGGAATAAAAAGAGGTTTATAATACCTCTGAAAGCGGACACCTTAAACCGTAAAAATAAGTGGGTATCCTCGCACTCTGTCGAGGTAAAAATGTGCGTCCCGCAGCTTAAGGCTCCCGTAAACCTGCTGCTGCTGGTGGGCCCAATCCGGGGGAATTCCTGATAAGATCCAAATTTTGTACTTTTGGACAAGAAACCGCAATAACAGGGAGGTAAGTTCGAGAATCGCTCGAATACAAGTATTCTTGATTCCCGTACATTTATAATTGGAGAGGGTAATAACCTCCTTCCCTCCACGTTTCATATCGTTCTTTTCTGTTTTTTTGTTCGTTTGAATGATTGCACGTTCGTTTGTATGTCTGATCGTTTCTTTGTTTGTCTTTTTGTTCGTCCTCCTGTCGAACTTCCTTTCATTCGTTGGTTTTTCCTCCTTTCCTTTTTACGCAACCTTGTACTTTTCTTTCTCTTTCACATACTTTTATCTACAAGTATCTACGTCCATTTTCTTTTATTTTTGAACCGTTAAGCTAACCGTCACACCACAGTCAACTTAACAAACCATTCGTTTATCCGTACACTTTAGCTAATTGGTCGTTCTCTGATCTTCCGTTTTTAATCCGTTAATTTCGTTCGTTAATTTTTCATTTTCCACTCCATCCAACTCTTCAGTACTCATTAATAAAATGGTCAGTTATCCTCACACAAGCAGTTGTGGATGCTGCGATGGACGCTGATGGACACGTAATGGTTGAGGGGCGAGTTTCGGTGGCTGCCAATGTGAGGCGCGCATGTAGAGCACTGTGCGAACAAGCAACATCTCCACAAACACAACCAAGACCAAATGCTGCCAAAAACAATCGGCACTTTCGCCAGCGAAGATGTGCATGAAGTGCCAGCACGCGAGTTAACGGGGAACACCGTCTGGCTTCCTGCCCTCGAGGGTAACCTCCAAGGGCAAGCGCTCCCGCATCATTACATGTGCGCTTCTCCTTATCATCAATCATCCTGACGCCATACATCAATTCATTTCGAACGACCTCTGCTTTCGACGGTAATTAATATCCGTCTTGCCATCCCGCACTGGACCAAGGCACCTCACTGAACAGGACTCAGCTTCCTTATCATCAGCATCCCAGTCGCCAGTCAATCCATCGTTCCCTCCTCCAGTAATATTTGCAAGAACGCAACCACACGTCCTGCATCCCGGCATCCCAGTTTCCAAAGACAAGGGGCCGCTGCGCAGGCCGTCGACAAGGTAAATAACTGAAGTCCGAAAACCGCTTAGGATTGGAACTATAATATGACCGGTATGGCATGATCGACAGAAAAGACGTATATCATCAGCAGCATAATAACCACAAATCTTAGGGTTGAAGCGCCGCGTCTGGACGCCATCCTTTCCCAACCTGCTACAAGTAGTACTGGCGGAACTGACTTGTACATACAGTACAAGAGAACTAGAGAACAAAAGAAAAAACAAACCTGAATCACTGGCGGCCGCGGTAATTTTCTCCTCACCTTCTCACCAGCTCACCTTCTCCGCGTTGTGCCGCTACCTCGCTTCAAACTAATCTTCATCTGCTCATCTTAAACCACGTCGGCCTATGTACCTCATCAACATCAGACCTGCACCAACAGCTGTTATATTTCATATGTGTTATTTTTCATAACCAGATCTGATCCGGATCCTGCTGCCTCTCCTCTGCTCCTCATCTGTGACTGCTGCTTAGGAAAGTCTACGCCGTGGTTTCCTCCAGCTAACGCGCGTAAAACGCTGACTGGCACAACGAAAAATCCTTATCAATATCTCTCCAACCTGCATCGCATCGCGCGCGGAACTTTTGCCCTTCCTAACGACCGCTTAATCCCTTTACCGTGCTTCACCATTCTCCACCACCAAGTCGCAAGAACAAGCAACCTCCTCTACTTCCGGGTATCACTTCAATCCCAGAAAACGAAGATAAGAGCCATCTGGCACATTCCCCCAAAAAAACAATTTCAAGGCAATCATGCAACAACACGCTCAATATCGCGGAGAAACGCACTGGCCTGATAACTCAATTTCATATTCCTTGGGCCGAGCAAGTTCTGCACCAACTTAGCATTGTAACCCTTGCACGTACAAAAATAGGCCTAAGCTTGTTTCAGTTTCTGGTCACAACCCAGGAGTAAGTTGCTAGCGCGCTGCAGTTATTATCCGCTCGCTCGCTCGCTCACGTACCTGCTGCACAACGGACAACGACCAACGGTTAACAAGAACAACGAACCCCTGACAACCCAGACACCACCAGTTTCTTCAGTATGACGACAGTAAGAGAATTTTTTTTCACAAATCACAATCGGCAAACAGACAAAAGATAAAAGGCGATGTAAAAGACAAGAATAAGCAACCCCACCAGTAGTACAGGTTATCCCGTGTACACGACCTGCACAAACCCCGTCCAAGCTTCGTAAACCTTCACATCTAATATACTTTCCTCCCCCCCCGATGCCGGGGCGGGTTCATGAACCGGTAACAACGAAGGCACAACAACTCCGTACCTGCTAGCTGTTAACCTGCCAACCGATCAGCAGCCAGCCTCACTCTCTCCAAGCCATCTTCCCCTCCTTTTGCGCGCTCGCCCATCAACACCATCCCTCTCCTGCCTCCTTCTCCCCGACCTTCACAGACCCCTACGACCTTGCCGTACAGCTATATAGCTCCTGGTCAACGGCGGTATGTTCTTCTCACCTTGCAGAGAACTTCCTCCTCGCCACTGACAGTGCGCAGGGCTCAGCAGCGACATTTCGTCAGCAATAACAAGCCCATTCTTATCCCATACACTTTAGTGCTGCACTTTGCGGAGTTTTTGTCATCCGACACCCTCCCCCCTTAATCCCCCTTTGCTATGTGCGTCCCCGCACCGTGGGGGCAGAAGAACAGTACGGCACATTACGGCACAAAGCACAACACAGCAAAGCAAAGCAAACACCGCCTTCGCGTACCTCTCGCCTCACATACATACAGGTTACACTGGGCTGTAGAGCCATTTGGGCTTCTAAAGCTTTTGTATTGCTAAAGCCTTTTCGCTCCCGCGCATTCTTCGCCTTTTTGTTTATCGCGTCAAGCAGGTCTACCCCTACACACACCCGCACTGCCACAACACCGTTACAATCTACAAATTCCTCTTATTATATCCGAAACGCGGAATGATTCTTCCTCGCGATGTACATCACCAGCAGGCCCTGGAGGGCCTTATACTCTTCCGCTATGTAAGGGGGGAGTCCCTACCGCTGGAGGGCTAGACGTTTACACATACAGACGAACTGTCACTGTCGTGGCGTTACTACATTACGCGGCGCTTTAGGAACTAGAACGGGATGACATGAGGGTGTTTCGTGGCGCGGTACTCGTCGAGTTTTTTAATGCCCAAGTTGCCGTACATCAGGCCCTCAGGTACGGCATAGGCATGCAGGTTGCCGGCATCTCGCGCATCCCTGAACTTTTGCACATCGAGCATCAGCGTGCCGACATGCCGTACAAACTCCAGGAAAGGGCCGGGCTTCAACTTAACATGTTGGTCCCGTGCAAAGAACCCGATATCCCAATTAACGGTTTCCCGGCTGGCGTTATGGTTGTTGATTCCTGCCTCGAAGTCGCCCTGCAGACGTGGATTTTAAATCCATGGTTTTAAACGAGGCCCAGCAATATTTGAATGTGCAACTCAGGGGTGCACAATATTTTAGACGACTGGGCTTAGTGAGAAGAGCTCAGGACCGCGCTGTTGCCGCGGTGGGTGGTCAATGCCTCATCAGAGGACAGACTCCGCCTCGCGCACACGTTCCGTAAAGCACCTGTACAACTGATGGAACTGCCGTACATACGCCATCGCACATACGATGGTGAACGGCACTATTAGACGAGTACGGGGATGATATGATGGAAGCAGGTTCAGATCTTACCTCCAGGCACTGAGCATCGTCCTCCACATTGTACCCGAAGAAACGGATCAGATCATCGTTGACATCGTGCTGCTTCGACATGTACTTGTCGGGCCAATGGCCAAATAGGGTTCCGAACCTTTCGCAGACACACGTGTGTGCGCGTGTTACAGCAGTCGGTTTGTTTTATGGGTTGCGGTCGGTCGCGGAGGAAGCGAAGAGGGGAGGGCTCGCGTAATGAATTATGGATTTGGATTAAAGGGGAAAGCGACTATTTGATGAGGGGGGGAAAACCACGTACAGTGGACTTTGGAGGTTTAATTTCTAGGGAGGTTTGGAGGAGAGAGAAATCCTTACTGGAATTCGGCACCGCTGGAGCGCGAATTTTTCAAACAAGACCTTATGTTGCGAGGTTGCGTTAAGCAAGCTGGGTTAGTTGGGCGTAAGGCGCAATGCGTAACGTTTTTAGACTAACTGTTTCGCAACGGCCAGTGTGCTCAGGGCCGTCATTTATTGCGCGCATTTAGCTGTTAAGCTTATCTTGTTTTGTTGTTCAGCGCGCGCTGAACAACAAAGCAGGTCCCGCACCTCCGGCGCGCTTTCTGTTACTACACCGCTGTTACTACATTTTGTTTTTGTTGTTCGTAAGGCCCGTCTCCTTCGAGCCTCTCAAGTCCTTTTCTCTTCCATTATGTAACATAAAATGGCATTTGTCTTTGAAGCAACAACTAATGTACCGTAGCCCGTCCGTAGGCTAGGGGCCCGCCTCTGTTGCATGAATATTTTTTCCTTTTTCCAAACGGCTCAAGTGCCCCAAGCTGACCAGCTTATTTTGTGATGTAGGAGTAGAAGTGCGCTTGCTAAGGCACCTCTCTGACGTTGTTTGCGCTCCCGCTGCTTCTCAATCATGCAAGTCCGTCAAAGCATTTTCGCCAGCGCCATTTCCCCGCTGCAGGCTTAAGCGCAGACTTCGCGGTTGCACTCTTATTGTAGCGTTCTCAATCCACGAAATGCTGGTTCCTTCCCGTTCACGCCGATCAGTTTCCTGTCAAAGATTCTGCAAACTGAAATGTTGGCCGTTGAATAGTCAAAGGATACATGTAGTGGATGTGCATCGCAGACAAGATATGTCTGAGAATGACTGTTGCAACCTTAATAACCTGTTCCTGTCACAATGTCACATGCATCTGTCTTCCCACACTTCAGTAATGTTTTTTCGTCCGTCCGTCAAATCCGTCAATCGGATGCTTGGCTGTCAAAAGCCTATTACCAGCCAATACTACATTGTCACTGCTTCGATTCGTTATGATGGGATTCATACTCCTCGTTACGATTTCCTAAAATCTTCGTGTGGTGCGCTGAAATCTACTTGTCCCTTTCCTTTCCTTCGTGTCTGTATTTTTCCTTTTCCTTCCTTTATGGGTAGTTTAACGTGTTTGACGTCGAAAGCATTTTCGTCACAACACCCAAGGTTAATTGACCGGCCAAACCTTCAATGCGGATCCGGCGCTCAGTACATCACAGCCGTAAATTGTCGGGTTTTCTCCATTTCGCCCCAAAAACAGAAATATGACTCTCATCTCGCCATCCTCTATCATGAAAATCCCTTCATCAGAGCGAAAGATTCACACTGCCACGCGCACGTGGCCAATGCGTTGTGCGTGTGCGTGTGCACCGCAATCATCATTCCGTAAGCATAATGATGGTCCTTCGTCAACCAACAACTTTCAACCGTGTCGAGAAAGTGCAGCGGTGAATTTCATTGAGGTTAGGAGGCAGTTCTGCCTACTTGTTTGCCTGGCTTCCACTTCGCCATTATCAAATCGAATTTACCCGTGCGTTTCCAAGTCATTTGGAGGTCATGCTGCTGCTGCTGCTGCTGCATCTGCTGCATTACTGAATGTTACCATTTCAAAACGCTTGACGATCGTCACTAAATGCTTCGTTTAGTGCACTTGCGAGGATTAGATAGGTAAGCGATGCTGTCGCCGGAAGGTCCAACCACGTCGGTTTTATGCCATACTTTCCCTCCCCTGCTAACGTAGGACAATGCGGTCTAAGACTACAATGGTTTGGAACAATAAGGACAATGGATTGCAGTTCTTTCGTCGCCTCCCTCCCCGCCTCGCCCCCTACCTGCAGGGTCGGACCTCCACAATGGCGCTCGAGCCCTTCAAAGGTGGATGTTGGAAGTAGGGTGCATCAGGGTTTGGTTTGTCAAACAGTTGACGAGCGGATACAGCGGTTGGTACTTGTCGGATTCCAGTCGCAATTTCCCCCTGGGGAAGGTGCCCACGTACAGCCCTTCGAAATGCCCCCGTTAATCCGAATAATAAGGTTTCGCCGGGTAATATGAGACGATGCGAAACGAAATGGAAAGATGGAAAGAGCTGAAGAAAGGAGCGATGTCAGCGGAGTGAAGGGAAGTAAATATGACAACGCACAGCTCATGCCCAATTAACCTCCTATCCCAAAGTCCCGATCACCACTCATTCCAACAACCCCGGGGGGGAACCACCAACCACCAACCATCCGATGTCGCAGTCACGCACACGTGCATACATACATACATACATACATACATACATACATACATACATACATACATACATACATACATACATACATACATCAAGCACGCGCACCTGCCGCATGAACCAGCTGTTCGTCGCCCCCGCGCCGTGCATTACGACAAGCACGTGGGCCGAGCGTACGGCTGCCACGTTGGCCAAGAAGCGGTCACGGTCCACGGAGCCGTCGGGGTTTGCGAAGCTGATGGACGCACAGGACAGGCGCTTGAAGGGACCCGCGGAGAACCCTGCGATCGCGCAGAGGGCCGGAGGAAGGCGTGAACCTTATGATGATGATGATGATGATGCAGGAAAACAAAAGGATCGGCCGACGACGTGTACGTGTTGGGGGGGAAGGGAGGGAGGGGATTCCTCGGGGGGGGGAAAATATGGTTGGGTTTTCGTGTCGGGTCGGAAGGGCACTGGAAGGAAGGGGCAAGTTCCTTGCATAGGCTCTGCGCGAACTAATGACGAATGGAGCTCTCATCGACGTGTGTTGACGACCGGGTTCCCTCCCCAAAGCAGGTATCCTCTTCAAAGGGGCGCATGGCCCTACAGTTGCAAGTTCCACCCACCTTGGCGATCTTTCTCCTTGCAGGCCTCGAGTAGCTCCTGCGTCGTACAATTGTACGGGAGAAAAAAAAGGTTTAGGGACAGGAACAAACATCCAGGAGGGTAGGGAGAATTAGGTTTCTTAAAAAAGACGACAACTGTAACTGGACAGTGCGAGTTGACCAAAACCATAAGGACAGAGACCAGAGGTTTGTCCGAGAATGTTATTGCAATAAGGAACCGGCGTGTGTATTGTCATTGGGCAGTGTTAGCAGACGTAACAGGGACGTTCGACTGAATGTGGAATAATAGATTAGTACATCTCCAGCAAGGTTTCCTAACAACAATGTCAGCGATTTCCTCATTTTTTCCTACACACACACACGCGCGCGCGCGCACGATAGGATGCACATCCGCCCGCATTTCTCCCCCTCCATCACCCAACCCCTTGGCCGCAATGCACAGGGGCAAACTGACCTCGACATTTTTGATATTCCTCACAGGGCCCTTACGACTTTCAATCAGCACCCGCAACGTAGTGCTGTCCCGTTCGTCGGTATCCGAGCTTGCACTCCTCCTGCTACTGCTGCTGCTGCTCCTGTGACTGTCGCCTGGGTAGTGTACGGGACTGGGTGGTAGGAGCCCGGCCTCCAACAGTCGGGAAACCACACGCTCGGCCACAACGGACAACTTGGAACCGCCACCATTTTTGAGACTCCATTTGCACAATATCATCTGCGATGGTTTTAAAGTTAAGTTTAAAGTTATTAGGTATATAATATGGTCGAGTAATTGGATTTTAGGATTTAATAATTATTTAATATTATTTAATTGGATGAAAAAGGGATGGAAAATGAAGTAATGGCGTTGTGGTTGCGAAATGAGTATGACGACCTTTTGAGATGTCAGACGGAGGAAGGTGAGGAAAGAGAGGCAGTTAGGTAACTGCCTAAGAGGACAGGCGGTCTGCAGTTAGTGGTGAATTGGGGAGGGGTTGAGGATATCTCTAGCGGCGTGTTAGTGAAGAGGTGCGAATGATGCCAGTGGACTGCTGGCAGCGGGAAAAGGCGCTTAGAATGCCTAAAACCCTTCCAGACCCTAAAATCCAATTAATCGATACCCCAAAACCAACTCTTATAGAACCCGAGAGCCTTACCCTTTCGAAACAGTGTGGCTGCTGTGGCTCAATAGACCATGGCACTGCCCTGTGTGTACGGCAGCCTGTCGTACTGTCCCGATTGACGGGATCTTCATCCCCTGCCGGCTCGCAGCCATCCCGAGAGGAGCTGGTGCCTCCGTCCCGCGGGTCGCTACAGCCCTTGCCACCCAGCTCCGAAGCAGTAATCGCCGGGTACCGGCTGTACGGCATGAGGAATAAGGAATGGAACGCCGCCATGTGAAGACCCATGGGTGTCTGCAGCACCAGCGTCACCTTGTCATCTGTACGGTGGAAAAGGTACGGAAATGTACGATGGAAAAGGTTTGTGGTATGCTCGGTTTCACAAAGCATGGCATGGCAACTAAAAGGCAGTGGCATTTCGTTTAATATGCAAGAAATGGCAAGAAAGTGGTAATGTACACATATTTATTGTACGGCACACTGAAGTTGCCGTACTGCTATAACCCAAGTGCCAAAAGGGGTTGATGCTCACCCGTTTTTCACGCAGCCACCCAGGTCAAGCTCTGCATTTTTTCCCGCCAGCACCCTCCCCTCCCCTCCCCTCCCCTCCCCTCCCCTCCCCTCCCCTCCCCTCCCCTCCCCTCCCCTCCCCTCCTTATGGGCACAGTCGGTCGCATCATTGCTTCAGGCTCCGGAAGTAAGCGCCTTGGACGTACGTCGGTACTTGGGGGTTTGCTTTCTCTCCTTCTTTTCCTTCTTTTTTCTTTTCATTTCCCCTCACACACCCCCATTTACCCCCGACCCGACCCGACCCGACCCGACCCACCGAGGGACATCGTTGACAGAAGGTCAACGGCGGTCAACACCTTGGCAAAGAACCTGCACGTCCCGGGAGGCATTCCAGCTCACCACGTGAATCAACCGACAGCGAGTAGGGGTGTAAGGAACAAGGACCTCCACCCAGCGATGAGAGGAACGAGTTAAATGTTACAGGGTTGAGGAGGGGAGCAGCACCAAGGGGAGCAGCACCAATTCGTGAGAGGGGGAAGGGGGAGGAGGAGAGGGAAGTTAATGTTGTCCCATGTTCATGTTTCCCACCGGGCGATTCATCTCTCTCTCTCTGCGCTCCCCGCGCCTTCCCTTGTATCCCCTCTCCCGCGACACCTTCCCCCCCTTCAAGCATCAAATTGACACACGGCAATAAGGCCAACATAGCGGTCCTGTAGGAACTGGATCCTTTTTAGCATTTGTTCATCACGGTATGAATCCCCCACCCCACTTCGCCCACGTCACCCACTCGCCCATGTTGTACAGAAAATCCGCCACGATGATCACTGGTAACGTGCAATTTGTAAAAACTGGGTTTCGGAGCGCCGCAATGGGTTCGTGTGCTGACGCCTGTCGGAGGTTGAGGCGGTAGTGGGGTCCGCGACCTCGTAAGGCGTCCGTATTAGCTTCCATCGCCGCTGCAGCAGGAAGCAGTTCCAAACGTTTCCAGGGTTTTAAGGTTTTGGATTTCAGGGTTTTGTTAGGTTTTTCATTGGGGTGTTTTAGCAGGAGAAGGGATGGAAACGATGCTAATCAGTCTTTGCTGTTCACGCATGGTTACTTGCTGGGAGTCATGCCTGTTGTTTTTGTATGGGAGGTTTCGCAGTGGGCATTGCCTGTTGCCGCACTGGTTCTACAGTCGAAAAACTGCTTCCGATAACCCTCCACCGCACCCTATGTGCATTCAATTGCCCAAGCCCAAACCATCCCGCTTCTATATATACTGAAGCCAAGACCTGACCTTCACTATCCAGACCCATGCCCCTAAATATTCCGTTCCTCCTTTTCCCCCAATTATTAAAACCCTGTCGCTATCCCCTAAAACCGCTAAAACCCATACCCGGGAAGTTCCAGTTATCGACGGCCGGCATCTCCGGCAGCGGGGCGCGTCTTGGGTTGGCGTAAGAGTAGGCCCAGTCGTGCGTTACGAGCGTTTCCTGCATTCGGCATGTACGGGACATGGAATTATACGCTTACATACATATATACATACTAGGGTTTGGCACTTCTGGTAAGGCGCGACTATTGCCCCCGGGAGATCCCGGGATCGATATCCATTAGGGTCAGAAGTCCTTCCGATGGTGGAAGGCATTGCGCCCCTAGTTGATGGACGGTGGTGACCTGGGATAAAGTTAACCCGCGAGCCGACCAGGAACGGAGTTGAGCCGCTCTCGACCCGGCAAATTCCATTGGATGCTGGTGGTGGGTGCGGCACCTGAGCGATCCACTGAGAAGTTGACTAGGTTGACTGGATGAGGGTGTCCCGAAATACCGGGGAAGGCAGGGTTTCGCAGGGTAGCTGCCACGGGCGAATATACAACCCCCTGTTTCACACATCATACATACATCTGAGCATACACTAAAACGCGACGAACATTCAACCTTCTTTTGTTCTGGTCCGAAAGTGATGGAATCGACGGAGGGGAAAGGCGTCCTGGAAATATATTATGCCAGTTATAAGAGCTGTCCTGCTTCAATGATCTCAACTACCTTAACAACCCTAACTACCTTCAGTAGCAACCTGTCTTATAAATCTCCCCAAGTAGCCCACCCGAACCAATGAGTCCTAATAATCTCACTCCACCAAGCCCATATCAACGAATAAAACCCAACCAACTAATGCCAACCGACTAGTAACTAGTATTCATACGACGTATGTCCCACTATACAAACCGAACCATTAGAAGCAGCAGTCGCAATAGCTGTTCAACCAGTGGAAATAAGCTGACGGGATCTAAATCCAAATCGTACGAATCCCCGGACATACATGCAGTAGCACCAGCAGACTCAGCAGTAGTAGAGGCCGCAGCCGCTGCATTACTGTTCAGCTGCATCAGGGACGTCCCTCTCAACCTCATTATGCAAACAAATGTGGTCAGGTGCCGTACAAACGAACTTGCCTGGTGGGCGCAGACTTTGCGTAGTACGAAGCACTTCTTCGACAACCCGGTGAGGTTCGCTTTGGGGCACTGAGGGTCTAGGTTGGCCCACTCGTCGACCATCGTGACATTTGTGCCGTTCACAGCGCTGCCCCCTCTACTACTTAAACCGGTGGGTGGACCTGCATTGCTACCGCGGTAATCGCCATCCAGGCTGTGGGCGTCTTCACTGCCGTAGCTGTCGGCTTCGCCGTTTCCTTCATCGCCGCCGTCGCCGTCGTTATTCGTACTTCGGGTTTTACTGCTGCTGCTGCTGCTGCGGGCGCTCCTTCTCCTGCTGTTATTTTTACTCCTTTGCGAGTCATGCAAGCTTTCGTCTTCCTTTCGGAATTTTTCATAAACGCTAGGATGGCTTGTGTCTCCACGATTGCTGATGCCGTGGTCGAGAATGGTCGCGCGGCTGCTGGCGATGGTGTCGGCAGTGGTAGTGGAGACGGAAGCGACAATGCTGCTTAGGCTGCGCTTCCGTGAGGTGGTGTCATGGCTGGCAGCATCGCTGGCCCGAAGTATGCTTTGCCAAAGGTGGCGTTCCAGCGCCGCAGCAGAGGGGGTAGGAGGCAGAGCCCATCCCAGCAACAGTGCGATGACAACGACACGAGCCATCATCCGCCTCAAATTACCACGCGATGTCCGTTTGGAGGCGATGTTCGTCTATGGACGCAGTCGGAGTCGAGCTTTCCATCTCACGTCTTGCGTCTTGAAAGAAGCCGGGCAAGCGGGCGATTCTTTCCTACCTCTCTTCCAGCTGAAGTGTAAGATGAGATGATGCGTCCGGCAAAGGCTGACTAGTGCGATACATCTCATGGAAGACGCACTACAGCCCACCACACTGGTATCTTGCAACCCAAATGGTCGCCGCTAGCTCTTTATATCTCAATGTGATTTCTGTCCGATCTACATGTACGGTTGTGGCTTATCGCCTTGTTTGGTGCACGGGCACGGCACCGTACATTCATGCATATGGCTCATTTCGTTGCTCCGTTTACACACTACCTCCTATCTACGTTGCTATGGTACATTAGTAGCCTATTGGGATAAAGCCGATGGTTGGGAGTTTGACCGTTACCTAACTTCAGCCTTTCTCCGTGTGCCTGCCAAATATGCAACGAACTCGACTAGCTTGCGCATATTGAGGCTCAGATCAAATCAACTCAGTACAATTGTCCTTCTAGCAGCAAAAGTTGTACTAACAGGCCGTGCGGAAATGCCCTTCCGTAGAGCAGGTCCTCCCGCTGTGACGCAAGCTAATTAGGAAGTGGGTTATGGGTATTATTTCATGGCTCCCTACGTATTGCCAATTGCAACTTTGCTGTGCACAATTGGACACTTTACTCGGGCCCGAACAAGCCCGCACAAGCATAGGAAAACACGAGTTACTTTATGCATATTCGATTTTTCATCCTTGAGGCATCCAGCAAGAAGGGGCTCGAAAGGTGCTAAGTGAAGCTGCTTTTTTTCGGGATCCACGCTGCTGTACACAGGCGTCTGTTTTGTTCCAACAGCCACGAAGCGACCGAAACACCTCAAACAATGTTCATACGTGTCACAGAGGTACTAGTGGATCCGCTCTTCATTTTTGCTGATCTTATAGTCCTTGTTACCTTTGGGGGGCTATCCGGCTGTCCGTAGGCTCTCCCCTTGTGGGAGTGCTGAAGAGCAGTCATGGGCTGCTGCCAAAGCAGAGCAGTTGAAGAGTCCTATCAACATAAACGCCCGGTGCGTCGGGCGTTGCGCATCGGTCCCATCACCCCCGGCTAGCATTGCCGCGTTGATTAGCTCCTTTCTCTGGCTACAGGAGTCACCTCGCTCACCAGATATATGCTATCCAGATAAAATTGGATATGCCGGCATCAAGGTAGGCGTCTTAATTGCCTTCCTTGGTGCCTCATTAGCATCGCAAACGTTGCCTTAGAGCTTGCGCCAGCTTGCGGGGCTAACCACGCTTGCATAAGGCCAAAAGAATGACGTGAACCTAAGCGGGCGCGACGTGCAGTAAACGTGTCGGTATGTGACCGTACTTCAGGTCCTCACTTCAACAGCTTCAACCTCTGGCGCAAGCAATTCTCGTACCAGGGGACGCACACACACGCGCCTTGTTGTAGGACCTGACTGGATCTTCGCAGCACTTTTTGAGGCCCATGGCAGCAGCGACCTAGACGTCCACCGTGGTTGCCGTGAGACGGCTGCGCGTTTTTGCGCCGAGCAGTGTTACGGGGAGTTCCAGCGCGCCAAGCAGGATGCTGTGCAAGCAGGACATGGGGCATCCACCAGCAACGTGTCCAACATTTTGGCAGCGACGCTTAAGGCTCTGGACCGGCGCTTCCTGTCTGATACTGAGATATCGCCACAGGTGGAAATGCGTGCATGCCGCACGAAACCGGCGTCAGCGTACGCTTTCACCTAGCATATGTCACCTGCCCCTCGCACACCCTTTCCGAAGCATTCCCAAACCCGGAAATGAACAAACCGTGTGCAAAGCCCCCGTTTTCAGTGATCCTGGGGTGGAATAACCATACCGGCTTCCTGTTTATCCATACATGTCGCGGCCGTGCCGTGATGCAGCGCGTCCGAGCACATCATCTGCCAGTTTCTGCAACCCAACATTCTACCCGCAGGCCATCCTTTCCTGCTCGTACGGTCTTGATGCATCCGTTTGACGCCCGGCGTGGGGTTGAGTATGCTAACGTCTAATCGGGAAAGTGCCCTTTGCGTGTTTCCTGGTGTATCAGCAAGTCATTAGCCGTAAACTAATGACTTTCCGGCGAGGGGCCGAGGAAGCACATGAACGTCAACGCAGGTTACATGTACATCCCAAGAACTCGGCGCCACCCCTGCACGCCCCGCCACAGCACGCTGTTCTGGCGGTTAATGCCCGCGTCCTGTACCCCCGAACAGTCCCGTGTCCATCCCATCTCATCCCGTGGCATTTTACCTCACTCAATGTTGTACTCGGTTTTTAAAGCAACGACCCTGACCGACATATATTGTATGTACAGGACCGCTTAATGTCAGGTTGCACCGCTGTGCTACTCCACGTCTCCCTGGGCGAGAACCCGACAGCGACCGCAGCGGCGCTGGGGCCCTGCGCTGCGGTAGTAGGCCAGCGGCGGGGCGGCCTGGCGAGCGCCACAAGCGCGCCCCTAGTGCTGTGCGGCGGGGCGGCAAGCAGGTGCGCGCCCCCTCTCTCTCTTTTCCTCCCCGCTCCTGTATTGCGTTGTCTCCATTTAAACGAAAGGGACCATCCATAATGTGGTTGCGATAGTGTTTTTGCTGGGGCCTAACCGGTGTCGCAGAGGACATCGCTCGCACATGCACGGTGAGGGCCCCGCTACCAGCCACCTTGCCCGCGCAAGTGCCAATCCGTCCGCCAGCATCCCCCTCCTTCAGCTTTTGTGTAACGGTTACAGCAGCTCACCCGCTCTCAACTCTGACACTGCAGACTGCCTATCCCAACCCTACGTTACGTGCACAGCGGGGCTCTGCATCCCCTTCGAAACACCTGCGTACCTCACTCCTATGCTTATTTGTGTTTACATTTGGGTCGCGTCAGGACTTGTCTTCTCCTTATCTTCCCCCCAGTCCAACCTACCTGGTTGGGCCCTGCCCGGTTTCTGAGACAGCTTCCTCCCCTCAATACCCTTCCCCCACCGCAGTCTTGACGCCCTTCAAAGCTTTTTATCTGCTCTTGGGGCTTCACAGCCGTGCCTGCCAGCTGGGAAGGCAGCCGCCAGCGGAGTAGCAGCCTCCCAGAAGGGGCGTAGCAAGGCCAGGGCCTCAACCTCAGGCGCCTCCAAGGACATGTCGCAACAACTGACTGTGCTGGGGCCCTCCGGCGAGCCCGAGTACAGCCGCGATTTGAATGCGCCGCAAGCTCTGGGCTTTGGGATCGGCAAGGGCATGCGGCTGGCACCCACCGGCCGAGGCGCCGCTGCAGTTGCGAAACCGCAGGAGCCGCAGGTTGGGCTGGAGGTGCAGGTACGCGGGTGGGTCGGGCATGGTGTCTAAACATGGTGAAGTTGGAGGCGGTATGGGTTGAGCAGAAAGAAATGGGCCGGCCTGTGCAGCTAGCTTTCGTTCTGTGCATATGCATGCGTTGAGCTGCACGACCGGCACCCACATAACGGTTGCTACCAGGCGCCCTGTGCCGGCCCCCTTTCCCGTCCGAGCATGGCTTTGCTGCAATTGGCAGTTGTATCCCCGGCGTCTCCTGACCCTTTTGGGCTTCAACACGCTTCATTGTTATCCCCCAACCCCTAGCCCATGTCCACGGTTAACGTCGTTCCCTGAACCCGTCGCTGAACCTCCGACGTGGATCCCACGTGCACCAGACGTCCTCCCACGCGCTCGGACCCGCTGACGACGGTGTGGTGCTGCTCAGCAGCGGTGCTGCGGCTGGCATCACCCCCACAGACGTGGCACTACTTTTGCACCGGATGGGTCGGGTGAGACACGCCGCCCCGTGATAGCTTTAGGCATATCCTTAAATGGGTCAAGCGCGGTGTTCACTGGGCTTATCCAAAAGTGCACAAAAAGGGTTGAGTAGAAAGGAAAGGAAGGCATGTCGATGCAGCGTCACCAATGTTTGTGTTGCTTGGAGCACCCTGTCTCCTGTGTTTTTCTGCAAACACACGCACACACACATATATATGCGTATATATACATATATATACACAGCCTTATATACACAGCCTTGTGTACATAACGCCTGCGGCTCATATAATGATTCTGCGAATTTTTGGTGGTCCATCTGTCATGCGTCGCCGCAGCGGCTTTCTCGCTTGACGTTCCCCTTTCCCGTTCCCCGTTGCACCTCTCCCACGTGATCCCCTCCCCCACACCTTCCCTGGCGTCGGGCTGCGACTCCCCTTCCTTTGTCTCCATCTTGTCGGGCCTAACAGCTGGCCGCCATTCCCTACGAAACCAAGACGCGGCCACTGGTAAGGAGCCCCTCCCACTCGCCACCAGTGGAATACTCGCTATCAACGGTGATTCCGCAACCTTCCACTGTATTCCGTGTTCTCGACCTACATAGCGCATACCCGAACCTGCATCATGTAATGCCGCTACGCACTCCTTATGGTCTGCGCTCAGTGTACGCCACGTGCACTCATGGCCCTTATGCGCTAGGAGGACTTGTTGCGGCCAGCTGCGCTCGGTATTCCCCACTTGCCCGTAGCCACAAGTTGCCCCTAGGCACCCCCGCAATCCCTTGCACCATGGAGGATTACCTCCCTCGCCCGCGTGTGCACGTCTAGCTGGATTGCCTCCGGAACCTCCGCAGCGCTGGTAGGGGGTACTAGGGTGGGGAGCTGTGGGACCCTCCTAGTGTGACATTTTGGCGAACCTGCAGGAGAAACCCGATCTCCCACACCTCGGGACCGCAGGCTGAGATGTGGACGTATGCAGCTAAGCATTCGGATGGGACTCTAGGGTTTAACGCTAGCTGTGAAGTTGTATTGACGTCCTGCTCCTCCCCGCTCCTGCAGCCGCTTGAGGAGTCCCGCGGGCTAGTCGTGCAATTGGACAGCTTGGGCGTGGCCGGCCCGCCACCGGCGCCAGCGCCATACGTTACTGCGGCGGCGACGCAGATTGCACCCTTCAACGCAGCGCGGCTTGTGGTGCAGCACGCGGTGGCCAATGCTGCGGCACGGGGAGCGAACGCATCAGGTGGGGTGGGCGGACACGTGTCAGGAGAGTGAATCGGCCGGCCAGCGGCAGGCTGAGGAATGAAAAGGCCGCCGGATCCGCAGTCCCGGACATGACCAGAATGCTCCCACCCGAATGACGGTATTTGGTGAGCGCTAGTCGGGTGGGGACTGCGAGGACTTATATGCCCTTAGGCGTGCTGTACTAAACGTGCTACGGCCCAGCGCACGCGCAACATGTCATAGGGAGCGCATCAACAGGGTATAGCGTAGCGTCCAACCGTTACAGGCGTCGCGGAGTGATGAGGCGTGCGTGTGGTTATGTGAAGTTTGCGGCGTCCTAATGAGGGCACTAGGGCGGTTTGCATGGTTACACGTGTATCCCCGGCCCTCTGTAAAAGCAGGAGAGCCAGTCGGTGCCATGGCATTCGCCCTGGAGTGGCCGCGGAGCAGCGACGACTCGGCTGCTGCAGCGGCGGCCAGCGGGGCGTCGGTGTCCGCAGTCCGTGCTGCGGCGGAGGCTGCTGCCAAGGCCCGGCAGCGCGGACAGTACCGCTGGCAATTGCTGCGGCTGTACTACAAATTCCCGCACAAACGCCGTGTGGCGATCATCAACAAGTGAGAAGCTGGGCTTGGGACCCGGAAGGAAAAAATCTCCTTTTACGTTAGGTACATTAACGAGTTGTGCGACAAGACTCCTGCAAATTGCTGTGGGTATGGAGATGCGTGTGGATGCAAGGGTGTGCACTTGACGACGGGGCACACTGTCACAGATGAGAGATGACTCCATAGAAGACGGCACAAGTCCTGCCTAAGCGCGTGCGGCTGGCGCCCGTCATGCCATTTGCGTCACGCAGGTGGCACGAAGTTTTTGACCGCGTTGTAGGCGAGGGCAAGCGCACGGCAAATCTCAAGGAGACGGCGGCCTGGCTGCGCTTGGGGGCTGCGGTCAAGGTAACTAAATGCCTGGCTGGTCGGCTGGCAGTCAGAGACCCCGATGTGTGGCGGTAAACCTTCCTGTGTGTGTGTGTGATGTGCCAGCAGCGCGGGATGAAGCCAGTTACCGCGATGAGGTCACAGGGCCGGGCTAGGAAGGCTAGCAAGGGGGAGGAGAAGCCCGACATGCGCAGGTATCTACCAGGCCGCTGGCCCGGGCAAAAATATATACTGGTAGTGATCGATTGTGCTGCGCATAAGTTCGAGTCGCGGTTAGGTCTCCATCTACCCCACGTTCTGCACTGTACTCGCTGCCGTACACCAACACACAGTTCCACACTCGCAGGTCAGCGCCGCGGGCAACGTCCAGTGTCTTTCCTCCCGCGAGGACTGCGACTCCGGAGCAATCCCCGTCTCTTCGTCTGAGCATCAACAGCAGATGCAGACGCCGCCGCGCCGAACGTCTCCGGCACCATGGCAAAACCGGGTCACGGTGGGCGGTGGCCTGCCGCCGAACACATCACCCTTGCGGGGCCCGGTTGGCCAGCGGTCGCAGAGTCGACAGCCGCTATCCGCCGCTGGCTCGGCCGCCAGCCCATATGGTGCACTGACTTCCGGCAGCGCACGGCTGCGCTCGCCTTCACTTTCGCCCGGACACGCAGGCACACCGCGCTGCTCATCCGCTCGAGACACCCTTGCCGCTGCAGCTGCAGTGGCCGCCGGCGCTGCTGCTGCTGCTGCCACAGCTGCCGAGGCTGCCGCCCATGGTCCTACTGTAAATCCAGCAGTGTGCGGTGTCCGCCCGTCTGCCGGGGGAGGCCGCGGTGCCATGGTGGCATCGTCGCCGTCGCGTCAGGGCCCCGTGGGGCTGCTGGAGGTGGAAGGAATCAACATGCAGTTCGCCTCGGATCAAAAGCCACGTCGCAGAGAGCCCGCGAAGGAGGGAAGCACCAGTGGCTACGTGGCTTCGCCAAGCCCGCCTCTTGCCGGCTTGCCCCACACCTCCCCCTTCCAACAGTCCTTGGCGCGAGAATTCGCTGCTGCAGCTGCTGCTGGAGTCTCAGGCCGTTCCTTGCTGGCAGAGCCGTCGATTATCCAAGTGGACCCAAGTGGCTCCAGCAGCGCCAGCACCACCGTGCTGGCCGCAGCAGCTGCTGCTGCCGCCGCAGCCGTGGCAATGCCGCCCCCGGTCGGGGTCGCCCCTGCTAGCCCAGCGAAATCCTCCACCCAACTGAGCTCTGGCAGCACCACCACTGCTGCTGCACCTTCGGCGGCCGCCCGTCGGCCAGCCCCACTCGTAATTCCGACCCCGACGGCAGCCAACATTGCCGCGCCCGTGTCCGCCCGCTCGCGTATTCCCAACCCCAGCGCTGGCGGTGCTAGGACCTCCAGTCCCTCTGGTGGCGGCGGCAGCAGAGAGGGATCCCCTCCCTCCACCAGCCGATCCCGCACACCGCGCTCCCGCATTCCCACCCTGCAGCTCAAAGTGGGGCCCCTAGGCGCGGCTGCCGCCGCCGCCGCTGCTATGCATCCCACGCCGCGCCTGTCCATGCCTGGCTACGCACCGACGTACCTGCCCATGGCTGCCGGTGCCAGCCATGGCGGCCATAGCGCAACACCTAAGACCGTTGCGTCAACCAGCCGCACCAACAACACTTGGGGCGGTGCCGCCCCAACTACCCCCTCCGGCACCAGTGCCGGCACCCCCACCGCGCCCAACTCCGCAAGGAGCATCTTTACCCGGCTGCCACGGCCTGCCGCCACTCCATCCGCCAGCGGAGCCACGCACTTTGCCTCGCCGGCCGGCAGCGTCTCTAGTCGCTCGTTCATCCCTGGCAGCGACGCCGGCTCTTTCCACAGGTCCGGAATAGCCCGGCCGCCGCGGCTGGAGGTGGCATCGCCTAGCGTCAACGGGCCGCCGTCAGCAGCATCGGCAGCGGCAGCAGTTGATGTCACAGCCACCGCCACCACCCCCGGTGTCGAGGAGTCGGACCTGTTCTCCCCTGATGCAGACCAACTGGCAGCATGGGCCATGGAGGCCATAGATGCCATTGGCTCCTCAGTAAAGAAGAAGAAGCCGGTACCGCCGCCTGAGGAGCAGCGGCAGGAACCCAGCCCTGGCAGCTCCCGCAGCAAGCTGACGAGTCCGTGGAATGCCCTTGGTGGCAGCAGCCGCTCCGGAGGCGGCGCCAGACCTCATGCAGGGTCACGTATCCCGCTCAGCCCAAGGTGAGATAAGCTGGCACAGGACTGGCTCCGCGTTTTGATGGAATAAGCAGTCGACAGCTCCCGAGCTGTGGCGTCCGCAGCAGCGCAGGATGCAGTCGTGGTTTTCTGTGCTCCTTTTTTCTTCCTACGCCCAAACTACCGCCCTCCCTCTCCCCCACACTCCTTCATAAGCTACACCCCACATACTCTCTACACCCTTCATACCGTCTACACCCTCATACCGTCTACGCCCCATATACCGTCTACACCCTCATACCGTCTACACCCCACATACCGTCTACACCCCACATACCGTCTACACCCCATATACCGTCTACGCCCCACATACCGTCTACACCCCACATACCGTCTACACCCCATATACCGTCTACACCCCACATACCGTCTACACCCCACATACCGTCTACACCCCACATACCGTCTACACCCCACATACCGTCTACGCCCCATATACCGTCTACACCCCACATACCGTCTACACCCCACATACCGTCTACACCCCACATACCGTCTACACCCCACATACCGTCTACGCCCCATATACCGTCTACACCCCACATACCGTCTACACCCCACATACCGTCTACACCCCACATACCGTCTACACCCCACATACCGTCTACACCCCACATACCGTCTACACCCCGGGCTACTGTCCCTGCGCCGGCACAGGATTTGACAAGTGGTTTCTCCCTTTTTTTCGGCTCTGTCTGCACGCTGCCATATCGCCTACACGACGTGCAACTAAAACTCTTTCTCATGGTCCCTTTATATCACTTAACAGAGACAACATCTTGAACAACAGCAACGTCGTCAACAGCAGCAGTAGCAGCAAGGTCTCTTCGCGCACGGCGTCCCGTGGCTCCGTTGTGAAGCCCTTCCGTACCCCGAGTAACGTCAGCGTGGTCAACGGCACCGACCAGCCGACGCCGCAGCACACCGCCTCCTCACGGTCCAGGCGCTGATATCGCTCCATCTGCCCCTGCGTTTCGCAGCCAACCTGGAATATAACTCACCATTGCCCGGGGGCTTTTGAGGCTTGAACAAAGCCCTGCGGGTCTCAATGGCGATAAAGCTGAGGGGAAACGGTGGCGCATGTTTTCAGCTCGTTCACCGTGGCACCAAGCGAGGCCCCGGAAGGTTTGCGTACGTCTCGTATGCAGAAATGTTTTTTGGTAGAGATGTCTTTGGTGCGCGGGTTGCTGCATGATGTATGCCAGATGTGTTTAATCAGTAAGTCCTGGTTTGCCGGTCTGTCCTTCTGCTGTCCCCGAGCAGGAAGTGCAAAGCCGTCTGCTGTTAGATAGCCTTGCCAAATGGAAACAAAGTGCGGTGGTTGTTCGATTAAGGCGAATGGTAGAAAGTACGGTATTGCGGGCCTGACGTAATACAAGACAGATAAGATGCAAGTAATGGCGGTTTCCAAAATTGGCCTCAACTCCAATCCCCTATACAGAGGGCACTCCCATGCCAATTAACACTAAACCACGCTAAAACGCAGCTTGGCTACATAAAGCGCAACCATGTCCTAAAAGCAGTCGTACAAATCTCCCCTGTCTAGCAATACACAACGGCACACGATAGAATCGCCATGCATCTTCCACGGAACATGCCCTCTTTGCCCTGGAGAGCGGCGACACTTCTCTTACGCCACGCAGCTCCACATAAGTCAACAGAGCTAGTTGCTACAGCCGATACACCAATCCAGTTAGGTGCCACCTTAACGATAAATTAGTTTGCCAATAACAGCCGTCTCTCACGCTCTCATCCAGATTTCCACTCCAAAATGATCGCTTCGAGAGTTGTGTCGTGATGCAGTGGGAAGCCTTGGCTTCACCAATGATGTGCGAGTATAATAGACGGGGAAGTATAGAGGTGGACACACATCGCGCTTGTGCTCTACCTTCAAAGTATTGTAAGGTACGGCGAAAACAGCGGACGACGTGACAGCGTTCCCGAAGCATGTCTATCATGCATGCACGTTTATCAATACCTCAGCATGGCTCACTACAAAAAGACGACTTGTCTAATCGCATGGCGTCTGACCTAATCCGGTATGCACGATAGGAGACTGCTCCCGTAACATAGCGCAGTGAAGGTGAGGCTCGCAGGGTAACCGAAGGCAAAAGTCGCGTGATGGCGACTGTGTCCCACAGGCCCTTCGACAACATCCTGCGATAAGAAAGGCGCTCGGAAGCAACGTTCGAACAGGTCTCACTATACCATGCTCCTCAACCCGTCCGTTCGGACATGAACGCACGGAACACGCCTCTAAGCATCCATCGTGCCTCCCAATCTTATATGGCCGAACACGTGCACATCTGTGCAATACTACACAACAACCGCTTTCCTCTGCGGACATAACACCCCTAAGCGGCGGCAGCGACGACGCGCCTTCCTGCCTTTTCTGTCACATACTTAACGTCACTTGTGATATACAGCAGTGTCTGCAAAGAACAGAACTAAGTTTCAGAGAGGGCTCCTAAAACTCGGGCTGGTCTGCCGCCTCCACCACCTCCGTCCCCTATAGAAATTAGACAGCGAAATTCCTCTTAGGCCTGTTCAACCCACAGCAATAAATCCATAGCAAACAAAACCATCTTCTCTTAATCGCAACCGTGGCAATGCCAACTGCAATAACAATCGACAGCCTGAAGGTGCATGCCATACCATAATGCCAGCACTGCACTCCAAGTTCTCCCATTCTGCGCATTTTCCTCCATTCCGATCACGCACCAAATGCAGGGACTTGGACCCTAAAGGTCCCTTTATCCTACTCACTCCAAGCCCCTTCGCTGCTCCACCATGTGAACCCGAGCCACGGCACTTCCCACGCTCACATCAAGCCGCCAAGCCGTCCAGCCCCAGCAGCGACACAGGGGCTCCGGAGCATAGAGGGAAACTGATAACGGCGGCATGTTTCCATCTTCGCCCTGACACACTAGTGTTATATGATCCCCCGGCTAGGGCGTCACCAGGTAGAATGCCAGCCAGGACCACGCACGCATGCAAGTACACGCACATACACTACGCGTACACGAATACACCATTTATTCACGCAACGCCCTCATCCGCAGCCGCACTGCCGCACTACGACACTTTTTTATTGCCATCCGGGCTGGCTGGGCATTGGGCATTGAGCACGGCGGCCAAAAGCAGGGGTGGCCCAGCCCAACCCACGCTCGCCTCCCCATCCCGCAGCTCCCCATCCTGCCGCCTCACGCAGCCAGCCCGATTTATGGGACCCCACCTTCAACTGGCGTGGCGCTTGGATCTCGTTGAGGTGCGGCCAGGCTTCCGTCCATCAGTTCCCTTCGTCCGCGCTTCTCTCTGGCATCTCCTGGAGTTACTCTGGCATCTCCCATCCCCATGGCCACCTATCCCCCAAACCAACCGGACCCTCTGTAAGATCCGCCATGTAGTAGCCCTCCCCAATGCCCAGAAGATGCCGCAATCCAGATGCCCGATCCAGACCAGCTCCGCTCCGTGCTGAAGCAGGAGCGTCGACAACCAGGCGCCCAGCAGCAGCCTCGGCGTGCAGCAGGCACGGCACCGCACCCCCCCATTCCTACCTCTTTTGACACTCTCGCCCCCACTCGCTCTCAACCCACTCTCTCTCTCTCTCCCTCTCTCTCTCTCTCTCTCTCTCTCTCTCTCTCTCTCTCTCCCCTCGCACTCCGTTAGCAAATGACGCAACCGCACGACGGCGCCGGGGTCTGCGGCTGCGGCGCGTATCGATCCTGCAGCAGCTTCAGTGTCTCCACCACATCGGCCATGTTGGGTCGGGAACACGGATCGTCCGCCCAGCAAGCGCTGATCAGTTCGTAAAGAGGCTCAGGCATGGCCACCGGCTTGGGCGGCCGGTAGCCCTCTGCCACGTATTGTGCGTACCCCTGGGGGGGACGCCAGGCGCCGGGGAGGGGGCGCCAGAGGCGCCAGGTGCGGAGAAAGAGTGGATGAATGAATGAATGATTGGGTGGACGAGTGAAATGAATGAGAAAGTTGGTGCGTGTGGATTAGGATCTTAGGAGGCAACGAACCGAGTCAAGAACGGTTGATGGATGGAGGGATATGGGTGCGACACCCTAGGCGACCTGGCAGTGACATGTTTTGCACCCTCAGAGGGTTATAGGGGAAAGGTGTTTCTACAGCGAAGGTGCTTGGGTGCTTGGGTGGGTGGCTGTTCTCACCTCAGGCGTATCCATGCCTTTGAGTCGAAGCTCCCGCAAATTGAGCTGCCAAGTGAGGGGAGCCACAACAGGGAGTAGGCAAGTCAGCGGGAAGCGAATTTGACGATACGAGACAAGCAGAGTCTAAGCTGCGAGATAGCAACAAGGTATAATCGCTCTCCTCCTTTACTGAACATGCGAATGAAACACTTGAACGTAACCAAGCCCCACCGCGTGCAAACACACAGCAACACAAACATATACAGACACATAATCATGATGAAACAACGAAGCCCAACAATCACGCACACCAAACATAGCGGTGCAAAACTTCAGCAGCAGAACACACTGAGGCAGGCAAATGCAGAAATTTTCAGGGCGTCTAGTACCCCCCCCCGCCATACCGCGGAGACAAGCAGCAGCGTCCTTGAAAAGACCTCGTACATGAGCACTCCGAAGCTGAACACGTCGACTTTTTCATTGTACGGCATGTTACGGTGCACTTCCGGCGCCATGTACATGCATGACCCTAAAGATTGAAAGTTTTGGGCAGTTGTGAAGGGCGGTTGGGGGTTGCGCCTTGTAACTCCTGGACGGACCTAGAATTAGGCGGTATTTAGAGCGGGGTCGCAGTGGTCGTTATCCTCCACCTTCACCGGAGGACACGGCACTGTACCTAAAATTGTGTGTATAAATATACATACATATATACATATATATGTGTATGTATGTATACATATACACACACAGGTAACCCAGGCGGCAACAATTAATCCTGCTTCGTTGGATGGCACTGCTGCACTCCTCCAGGGAAGGGCATCGCTGTCGAGGGCACACACACACACACACACACACACACACACACACACACACACACACACACACACACACACACACACGACACGCACTCACCAGTCTGCCCAGTGAGCCGCCACACCCACTGAAAGTCCTGCTCATACCGACCCTGCCGTACAAAGGACACATGTCGTACGTTAGAAAGAGCGGGCCCCAGAGTATGGGAAGTGGCCCTGGTGGTCCTGCTGGGGACCAGCCAAGTGTTTGCGTCGTGAGGTGGCCACACCGGGGCACACCCACACACCCACCCACCCACACACACACACTCACACACACTTCCAGACCTAACAGAACACAGCCCCACCCAGCCCGATTTGGTGGTGCCACCGAGTTCTGTTTGCCAGATTGGTGACCTTGGGGCCGGGTCGGGTTGGGCCGTGCCCTAGCCGCCGATTCTGCGGCGGTGCGTTCTGGCGGGGCATGCCGGCGGTGGTCGTGGCGCCACACGCACCGGCCCCACCCACTTGTGCCTCCATGGCGAGGCTTCCAACCTGGCCCGCATCCGGAGATGCCTCAGTCCTGTTACAGTCCTCGTCGTCACATGGATCAAAAACAAAGACTTTTCACTTCCATCACCCACACAAGCCGCAACCCCGCGACCCCGCGACACAGACATGAAGAACATGAAAGGATGTAACCTCCTTGTCGGTGCACGGGATGATGGCGCTGAGCGCGGAGGACACTGGACAAGGCAACTCCCACCTCTGTCGGTGAGAGCCCTCCCGCTCCCCCCCGCGATGTATTCCCCCGACTGCCAGCTAGACGGCAGCTAGATAGCAGGGAAGCCCCCCAAAACTCGAAGGCCCCACCCCACCCTACCCCACCCCACGTGCGCGGACGTACATACGGACCTGCAGTAACGCAGCAATCGAGAACTGCGCGCCTCCGCCAACGGCGGCGACCGCACCAGCACCGCCACCGCCCGCCGCCACGCCGCCGCCGTCGGTGCCGCACTTCACGTAGCCGTTCCCCGTTCCGGACCGATTTGATCCGATGGACTTTGCAGACGACTGCCGCTCAACTAATGAGGTTCCGCCGCCGCCACCGCCGCCGCCGCCACTGTTGCCTCCGCCGCCGCCGCCTGCGGCGGCGGCGCCCTCGCCATGCGGCGACAGCGGCGGGGTCACGATTTGCGCATGCACACCACCTAGCGGTGGTGCCTGCGGCGGCGTGCTTGGGGCTGCGTGATTTCGAATGCGGCGACCCGCCGCCGACGTCACGACGCCGTCAGGACCGCTTTCCACGCCCGCCACCAGCGGCACCGCTTCATGCCCCGAGGCCCGACGCTCCCGCCCGCTGCCGCCGAACCCTTTTGCCTGGCCGTGGCCGTGGAGGTCCGTCGAGCCTGCTACTGCCGCTATCACTGCACCTGCTGCAGCCACCACTGCCGTGCTTGCCGCCTCCTCTCGGCCGCCGCCGCCGCCGCCACCGCCACCGCCGCCGCCGCTAGGCGACACTGTGGTGCTATCGACCATGCCGGAGCAGGAGGCAGTACGGCTGCCGCCGCCGCCGCCACCGGAGGCGGTCGCCGCCGCTGACTGCGCGTGCAACTTTGCGACGGCGATAATTGGAGGGAGCTTTGTGGTGGACGACGTCCTCAAGACGCGGAGCTGCTGTTGAGAATGGGTCTGCTGCTGCTGTTGCTGCTGCTGCTGCTGCTGGTGATGAAGGTAATGATGGGGGTCGTCGGGGTGTTTGGTGCTGTGTGTCGCAGCATGAGCTGCGTTGGCGGCCGCGGCCGCGGTGATGGAGGTTGTGATGGAAGGTTCCCGAATGATCCGGCCGCTGTCGACCTCCGAGGGCGGAGACTCCGCTGCAGCAACAGGTGACATGACATGACATGACATGGGAGGAGACGGCGAGCAGGCAGGCAACACGTGTTGTGATTTATGCCGGGAACGCGGATTAGGACTCTCTCTCTCTCTCACTCACTCACACACACACACACACACACACACACACACACGCACACATAAACACACACACACACACGCACACATAAACAAACACACACACACGCACACATAAACACACACACACACGCTGATATTCCTTCTCACTTACGCCAACGTGGATTTCCAAATGGCTCATATTGCAACCTCGGGGGGTTGATCCGCACCCCGACCAAGTGACGCAAAACGGACGGCAACACCAGTTCAGTTCAGTTCAGTGACCCGAACACACACCCACACACACCCCTCAAAGCCCCCATCGCCCTGCCGCCTAGCTCATTCAGTACCACCACACAAGGACGCAGGCATGCGCAACGCATTGGACCCACCATCCTCAACTAACACCGGCCCAGTCGCAGGCGGCGTCACCGGTGTCGGTTGCGGCGCCGACATGCGCACCAGAGTGCCGTTGCGCTCCGTCACATGCCGTGTCAGCCGCGCCGCCGCCGCCGCGATAGCCGCGTCACCGCCGCCGCCGCCGCCACTGCCGCCTCCCGCTGCGTAGTGTTCGTCCGCGACCATTCGCAGCCGTACGGATCCCGTATTCAGCATGTCCGCCTGCACAAGTAGTACCATAGCGGGGCCGCGAGTGGCGGTATTGATTGGTTCCTGAATAGGCACGTGAATGCGTGAAGTCCCAAATCCCGACCACCACCCCTACATATCACACGCTCAAACCAACCAACAATGGCCATTTACCCACATTGGCCCCATCAGCTCGTTTGCCTACCACATCAGCACCACCGAGCTCACCAAACAGCACCGAGCTCACCAGATCACCCCTACCCTACCCTACCCTACCCTACCCTACCCCACCTGCAGCTGCGCGCTGGCTCCCGGGCTCAAGCCCCCCGGCGACGAGTCACCCGCACAGGACCCGGGTCGTGTAGGTCCCCCATGCAAGCTGTTCGGCAAACTGCTGAACGCAGGCGCACCAGGAGCCCTGCCAAGGCCACCTCCGCCGCTGCCGCCGCCGCCGCCGGCCGCCGTCACCGCCGTTGCTGCGTCCTGGCTGGCCCGCCGCTGGTGCTGCCGCCGCTGCTCCTGCTGCTGCATTAGCATGGCGGCGTAGCCGGCGGTGTTGCCGTGGTACGACGCCTCCTCATTCAGTGGGACGAGCGTGCCGAAGGAACCCGGCGTCGCCGGCGCTAGGCTGCTCCTGGTCTTCGGACCCCATGCCGCGATGCCGGCGGCGGCGGCGGCGCCGTCGATGCTGCTGCTGCGGCTTGCAGCGGCGGCGGCGCCGGGTGTTGAAGGGCCGCCTGCCGGGCTGGAGGAGTCGCCGCCCGCTGCGGCGGCGCTGAGGCTGGCGACGTCCAGGGATATCCTCCGCAGCGCTGCGGGCCCCGGGAGGGCCGCCACGGTGGGTGCGGGCAGCTCGTCCATCAGGTAGAAGATCTTACCTGCGCACATGCACATACAACATACAAAAACAGATACAAAAACACACCACGCATGCGATAATGCGGTGATGATGAAACCGACGTCGTGCACCACTGCCCACCGTAACAATGCCAGCCAGCCAGCCAGCCAGCAATACCACACAATAGGTTAGCTGTGTAGCGGTTGTTGAGCTGTTGTAGGTACAACCCCGGCACTCGCCTGACATTTTCATTCCCTTTGTGCACCCGGACATGTTGTCTTTTAGATATGAAAAGTAAAAACAATACCATTTCCAATACCGTTGTTTTTTTTCACAACCACCATAGCGCCCGCGGAGCTCCGCGCACCCACACCACCCACCCGGCTCGTGTGTGCTGTCATTGTAGTACGTTGAGACACTGGGGACTGCCAGGGTGCGGCCACCACCACCGCCACCACCACCACTGGCACCCCCCACGGAGCCCCGGGCTATGGAGCTGGTGGAGCAGCGACCCAGACCCAGACCGTCCCCCGTTCCGGTGCCCCCGGGGGCATTGGCGCTCACGCTGCGCCGCCGCAACATCGGGTTCTTGCCGTCCAGAGCCTGCTCATCATGTAAGGGTATGTGCGTGTATGTATGTATGTATGTATGTATGTATGTATGCGCGCCAAGGGGAGAGGAAACAGGAAAGGAAGGGAGGCAGAACTCGTAGGCAAGTTGTAAGGGCAATCATTTGCCGACTCTCCCTACTGCCGACTTTCAACTGCCAGAAGTACAAAAACCCAAGACCAGACAGGAAGGGAGGGGAGGAGAGAAGGGAGGGGGTGGAAAGGGAGGGGTACGGCGAAGCATAGAAGATTGACGAGAAGAAAAAGCTACTCTATAAGACCAGACCAACGCTGTAGGAGAAGGGAGGAGGGGAGGAGAAGGGGGAAAGACGAACCACGAACGAGCGAAGCTGCTGGAGAGGGGAGAGGGGCCGCCCGTCCCGTCCCTGTCCCTGTCCCGACCACCCGCCCACCGCCATGAGACCGAAGTCCATCAGCTTGGCTGTGGGTCGCCCCGCCTCGTCCACCGACAACAACACGTTGTCCGCCTTGACGTCGCGATGCATCACCTGGGCCCGGCCCCGCAACAACACAGGAAACCAACAGCGACATAAACACAGCATCATAAGATCAGCATCATAGCAATAACAAAAAAAGACTGCAGAAAGGTAACAGTGACAGCAAATGCGATCGTGTTGTCGGTGAGACGGTTGATGCGGTTGTTTTGTCGTACTAAATGCGTGATTCTAAAAAAGGACGCAACCCTTCTCCCCACTTCCCTCTCTCCTTCTTTACCCCGTCTTCCTAGTTCC